TATAGCAGACTGCTGAACTGAATGACACAGCTACATCTAGGTTTCAAGCGTGCTATAAGCTAGAGACCATTCCCAAAGCTGTTTCTTATTTATAGGAAGCAGACCACATCCTTAAAGCAGCTACTCAGCTGCTCCAATAGATTCCACCATGGGGAATAACAGCATCCAGCTGCCCAGCCACTCAACCAGGCCCAGCCAAGTTGACACACAAACTTGACTACCACAGGGACCATTCCCTGGAGAAAAATATGCTTGGTAAAGTGGAGGGTCAGCAAAGAAGGGGAAGGCCCTCAACGAGATGGCTGCAATGATGGGCTCAGGTATAGCAGAGATTGTGAGGCTGATGCAGGACCAGGCAGTGTTTCATTCTGTTGTACACAGGGTTGCTATGAGTCGGAGCTGACTGGACAGCACCTAACAACAACAACCCACAACAGAAAGGAACAATCGACACACTCATCAACATGGATGACTCTCAAATGGATTATGCTAAGTGAGAGGAGCCAGAGTCAAAAAACTAGAGTGTGTGACATGTATAGACAGTTGTCAGGGATTCAGTCAGGAGACAGTTTAACTAAATGGGGCAGCAAGGGGGAGGAATTTGGAGGGAGAGTGGCACTATTCTGTACTTGAACTGTGTTACTAACAAACACTTAAAATGCATTTGTCAACTCACGTAACTCTACATTCCGAAAGAGAATTAAGATTTTTCAATTTAAAAAAACAAGGTTAAAAAAATTTCACAAGCAGTGTACAATGACTGTAAATTGTTCATTGGAAATTATAGAGAACCAAAGTGAGAAATCACTCAATCAAAATGAGAAGAGTAATCAATCATAATTTAAGGGCGAATCCCTGTTAATGTTCTAATGTTCTTGGATGGACCGTCTCCACAGGCTGGTTTGCCCACCTTTATAAAATGTACGTCTATATGTGCTTTACAAACTGCCATCATGTACACAGTTGTATATCCTGTTTTTCACACATTATACAACAACTGCCTCTCCTGTGAGCCAAACTTTTCTGAAAACAATCATTTAGAGGCAGCTCAGTGTTCTGATGTGTGGTCAGGCATTTACCTAACAATGCCCTTCCTAGTGGACACTGACTCTCAGGGTTTCCACTATCCATCATGACTATCAACAGACATGATCGTGCCCAGGGGTTTCCATAGGATGATACTAAAAGGAGAACTGCTGGGTCAAAGAAATGTCCAATTTGAAGGTTTCTACTAACGGCAGCCACCATTTCCCAGGCCTCTTATATGAGTCGTCACTGAGGCAGCTCCGACTTCAGCCTGGGCAGAGGGGCACAGGATAAGCCACCAGGCCCAACAGCCCCTTGCCTAATCCTAATACAGGAGCCCCAGGAGGAGGTCTGGTAGTGTAGTGCCTAAGGCACTTGACTCTTAACCAGAAGGCTGGTGGTTCAAATCCACCAGCCACTCCCTGGAAGGAAGATGGGGCAATCTACTTCTGTAGTGATACTGCCTCGGAAACCCAAGGAGGAGTTGCTATGAGTTGGGTCTGACTTGACGGCACCTAACAACAACGACACCAGCAGCAGGGCACGCAACTTTTCCAGGCCCTGCAGTGGGCATGGAGCAGTAGCCACACTGCAGCCCAGAAACTGCAGCCTCAGCTCTTGGCCTGGGACATACTCCTGAATGGTTAGAATTAGAAAACCAGGGCTTAGACAATGAGCACAGGCTCTGAGCCTTTGAGGACAGAAGCTCTACTGCAGGGAGGTCAGAATGGGGCTGTGGGTGGGCCTGCCATCACTGTGGGCCCAAGAATGAGCTGCCCTTCCATGCAAATCCTGCTTCTCATAACCACATTTGAGATAGGCACTTCTGAGATGATTTTGGATTAAAACTTTATTTGCTGTTTCCTCGTCAGTAAACCAGGGATCATGATAGTGGTAGGGAAAAATAAATGAGATGAAATGCAAAACACGCCATGCAACACAGAACATATACTACAATCCTAATTCTGTTGAAAACACTGCTGTGCATACAAGTAAAGCTAAAATGAAATTCTAAAATACCAAGAGTGGTAAAATTTTAAATACTATTTTCTTTTCCATATACTTTTTTAAAAAAATTTTATTGTGATTTGGGTGAAAGTTTACAGAGAAAATTCATCTTCCATACTGCAGTTCACATACACTTTGTCTCATGACAGTGACTGTAATCTCCCACAATGCAGCAGCTCTCTTCTCACTTCCTCCCCATAGTTAACCTCTTCCCTGTGTCTTTCCCTCCCTTGCACTCCTGCCCCCTGAGCTGTCTCCCTGTGCATACACAGCCCTTCTATTCTCCCATGAGCAATCTCTCCAAGGAGTGCATCTACCTAATGTAAGTGTTCAGCTCATATGCCTGTCTTTTATTTGGCTGGAAGCCACAGGAGTGGGTTCAATTCCAGACCTGAAGGCCATTGTCTCAGGGGTGTCACCAGGCTCTTTGAGACCAGCAAACTTAGTCCTGTTTTTCATGAGTCTGAGTTTTGTTCCACATTGCTCTCCCACTCTATCAAGGACCTCCTACACAGATCCCCCTCTGAATGTTTTTCCATATACTTTCAAAACCAAATTTTCTACAAAGAGTACTTTAGTGGTGTGCAATCTGAAGAAAAAAGAAAGTTAAAACTTGACAGTTGGTATACACCCATGTGTTGATGAGATGTTCTAATTACTTTTTATATAAATGAGGCAAAATGCAAACCCTACTTTTCAAAATTCATGTCCTAAGATCAAAAGGAGACTTAGAGTGATATTTATCACTTTAATGTTATCATCAAAAAATACAAAGTGGAAATCCATGCATATGGGGATAAGGCACTGGTACACTCCACATTTGTAACTTTGATAAGATTCTTCCACTGGTATAAATTTCCTGGTGCACAAAAAGGAAAATAATGTGATTGAAGGCTTCCTCACATTGTTTACAATCACAGCATTTCTCCAGTGTGTGAGACCTCATACATTTCTGAGTTCCAGGGAGACTGCCATTTACCTCACCTCTGATGTTAACTTGTGTGGTAGTTTACAAATCCTACTCTATACACCAGGAGCTCTCGTAGCATAGTGCCTAAGGCACTTGGCTGCTAACCAGAAGGCTGGTGGCTCAAATCCACCAGCCACTTCTCCGAAGGAAGGTTGGGCAATCTACTTCCGTAGTGATACCGCCTTGGAAACCCAAGGAGGGGTCGCTATGAGTCACAGCTGACTCAATGGCACATAACAACAACATTCTACATACCACCTGCATCCTGGGAAAATCTCAGACATCCCTTTACTGTTCAGTTCTGAACCCAGCTGCCAATGTGGCACACAGTTTCTCACTGACTGTAGCCACCAGGGGACAGGTCAGCATTCAGACTGCCAAATGAGCTGATGCCAGCTGCAAGCTCAGTTCATCCAACTCCTTCCACTTCTGAGAAGTTAGCCCCCGCTAATTCATTTGGTTTTCATTACATGCTAGAACAACTCACAGACCTCACAGAGAGTACCATGCCTACAACAGCTTTAATAAAAAAGATACAAAGAAAGAGATGCCTATGGCAAGGTCTGGGTAAATCTCCAGAGATGTACTACCTTCCCACATGCATGGGTGTCTTGAACCAACCAGGAAGCTCACTGAGCCTCTCTCTGCATTCTAAAGTCTCTGTAGGCCTCATGGAGGTCTCACTGCCTTCTGGTCTGGACATTCTACAACCAATAGTGAATAGCAGGAACACAGAAAAAGGATGAATTGTACTGCAAGGAGATTCATCACCTCACAGCATACTGGAAGGCTTTATCTTTTTCATTCACAAGATTAAGCCACAGTATAATATCTTGTATGTTGTTTAAGAATGGAAAAAAGTGTATAGATTTTCCCAGGTGTTTTACATTACGCACTGTCTCGCAAGGGTGACTTTGCATGTGTTCAGTAGGGTTAATTAGGGAAAGCTTTTGCATATGCATGAATTAAAATGTCTTTCAAAGAATGGGGAGAAGGGAAAAAAAAACTTATCCATATTCTTCACACTGACATGGTTTCTCTGCCATGTATTTTCTTTCGGGTTTGTGAAAACATAAGGAATGAACTTAATGTTCTATCCAGAAGTACTTACATGCATATTGTTTCTCTGCAGTGTGCCCCTCCCCAGATGTTTCAAAGGATGAGCACTATTAGAAGACTTCCCCCACATTCCTCACATTCATAACAACCCTCTCCACCTCTCTACCTGGCGTTAGTATGTTTACAGAGGGAGGAGGAATAACTCGAGATTTTTCTACATACCCTCTACACATGAGTCCACTGTAAGCTCTCATATGTTTACTGAAGATGAGCAACAAGTGGCTTTCCTGTATTCCTCACATTCACAAGGTGGCTATTCATTGTGAATTCTCTGTGCAGTGATGGATGAGAAGTGACTAAAGGCTTTCCTCCATTCCTCACATTAAGAAGGCTTTTGTCCCATGTGATTTCTTATGTGAAAAGTGAGGTATGAGGAATTACTAAAGACTTTGCCACATTCCTTACATTTATAAGGCCTCCCTTCACTGTGAGTTCTTATATGTTTAGTGAGAGATGAAGACTGACTAAAGGCTTTCCCACATTCCTTACATTCATAAGGCTTCTCTCCACTGTGAGTTCTTATGTGCTCTGTGAGGGATGAGGAACGACTGAAGACTTTTCTACACTCCTTACATTCATACGGTCTCTCTCCACTGTGGGTTCTTATATGTATAGTGAGGGATGAGGCACAACTAAAGGCTTTCCCACATTCCTTACAAACATAAGGCCTCTCTCCACTGTGAATTCTTGTATGTTTAGTGAGGGTTGAGGAATGACTGAAGGCTTTCCCACATTCTTTACATTCATAAGGCCTCTCTCCACTGTGAATTCTTATATGTCTAGTTATGATTGAAAACTGACTAAAGGTTTTCCCACATTCTTTACATTTATAAGGCCGCTCTCCATTGTGAGTTCTTCTATGGTTAATGAGGTGTGAGGATCGACTAAAAGCTTTCCCACATTCCTTACATTTATAAGGCCTCTCTCCACTGTGAGTTCTTGTATGTTCAGTGAGGGAAGAGGAGCGACTAAAGGCCTTGCCACATTCCTTACATTCATAAGGCTTCTCTCCACTGTGGATTCTTATGTGTGTAATGAGGGATGAGGAACGACTAAAAGCTTTCCCACATTCCTTACATTCATAAGGCTTCTCCTCATTGTGTTTTATGTGTTCAATGAGGGATGAGGCTGTCTCACATTCCATACACTCGTAAGGTTTATCACTACTATGAATCATTTTAGGTAAAATGAGGGATGAGGGACGAGTATAGATTTTCCAACATTTTTTACACTCACACTTATGACCTCTCGCATGTGCACCAAAGGATGAAAAGCAATCAGATTTGTTACACTCATAGGGTTTCTTTCCATTAAGTGTTGCCACATGTTTCTTAAGAGGTGAGTTATAAACAAAACCTTTCCCACACATCTTACACTTATAGGGTTTGTCTACAGTAAGACTTCTCACAGGAATGCTTGGGTGAGAGAGACAACTGCAGAATTCTCCACATTCCTCACACTGGTAATTACTGCATCCAGCGTGAGATGTGATATGATGAGTAAGTGAAGAATGAGCCAAGAATTTTCCACACTCACAGCATTCAGACGGATTTACTTTAGGAGAAGTTCTCTTAAGCACAGTAATATTTGGAATCCAGCTGACTGTTTTTCCGTACTGAATGTCTTCATTACCTCCACGGAGCTTCTCTAATGTAAGCCTCCTGTGAAAAACAGACAAAATGCTGTTGAAAATAAATTTGTTGGCATTTGGCCATTATTAAATAAAGTCAACATGTATGTTTTTTGCTGAGTTGTCTCACATGCCATAGTTTAACTCATCTGTCAGGGATGTTGCCATTACTCAGTGTTTCAAAAACATGGAGCTTACTGACAATTGTGTACAAGTGAATATGCTTCATACTCGGTAACAGATTCAATATTATGAAAACATTGCAGTTAAAAAATTTTCTGTGTTTCAGAGGCACTTATTTATATATTTCAACATCATGACAACTTAAATCTCTCTCCTGAAGCATTATTCTCTATCGTGGGATTGCCACTCACCTTATATGTCTCTCTGGATTGTTATGCTTATCTTCAAAACCATGGAATTCATATATTTCTCGTAACATGGAGGACCAGGTGCCATTCTTCATTAATCGTACTATTATCTGTTCACCAGATAGCTTTTCTCCATCTTTAAGTTTTCGAGAAACTGACCAAAGATTTCAGTTGAGGTTCACCATATGAAACAAAAGGGAAAAAATTATCAGGGGAAAAAAAGCAGCTGAGAACAAAGAAAAACTGGGTATTTTGGTGTTTTAGGACTTGAGAGATGGTCTAAAAGCAATTTAAAAGTGGAAGATTGGGCAATCTACTTCTGCAGTGATACTATGTTGGAAACCCAAGCAGGAGTTGCTATGAGCTGGATCTGACTTGACCGCAGTGAGTTTGGTGGTGTTTTTTTTTTTTTTTTTTTTTCGGTATGTCCATGAAAATTAAGAGTGAGGTGACACAAATAAGATGTAGAAAGGTATCGGACACAATGCACATGTAACGTTATAAAATGAAACAAAGGTATTTCTCTAGGAACACAGATGTGAGAGAACTGATGAAAGTTAGAAAAGGAAGATTAGCCATCTGGGCAGTTCGGTCTCCTTAATCCCACAGAGATTTTTCTCATTTGTTTATTCAAATCTAATTCCTGCTATACAGGGCTGGTCCTCAAAGGACTCTTCTTTTGCCAGTATTCCTTGACACAATAGCCTTGAATGAGTCCAATTTCATTTTCCTCAGATCTTTCTCTTGTGTTGCTGGGAGAATAAATGGGCATAGCTAACATGGGGCTTGTGGAGAAAGGGAGATCATGAGAATCTTAGTTTCTTATTGGTGCTATAACAGAAATATCCCAAAGGGTGGCTTTAACAAACAACTTTATTTTCATCACAGTTTAGGAGGCTAGAAGTCTGAATTCAAAACACCAGTTCTAGGGCAAGGTGCTCTCTGTTCACTCTGGGGGAAAATGTCTGCCTCTTCCAGCTTTTCTTCTTCTGTTCCCTTTGTAGCTCCTTACTGCTGTGCCTACCTAATCTGACCTTTTAAATATATCTCTGGCTAGCAAAGAAGAGTCAAGAAAATTAACCAACGAAAAACCGAACTCACTGCTGTCGAGTTGGATCCAACTCACTGCAACCCCTCCTTGGGTTTCTGAATCAGAATCACTACGGAAGTAGATTGTCCAGCTTTCCTCCTGAGGAGTGGCTGGTGGGTTTGAACCACTAGGCTTCTGGTTAGCAGTCAAGTGCCTTAGGCACAACGCCACCAGAGCTGTTAAGAAAATTAAAAGACACCTGGAAACAATTAATCCAAGGGACTAGTGGACCATGGGAATGTCAGCCTATACAACCCTGAGACCAGAAGAACTAGAAGGTGCCTGGCTATCACTGACAACCACTCAGAAATGGGTCAAAATTGGAGATCCTGGATAGAGTGAGGGAAAATGTGGAACAAAATTAAAAATCATAAAAAAAAAAAACAGGCTTATTGGTCTGATAGAGATTGGTTAAACCCCTGAAACTATGGCCCCTAGTCACCCTTTGGGGCTGGAATTGAACTTATTCCCATGGTATAACTTTCAGTGAAATGATAAATAGCTCTACAAGGTAAACAATTACACCAGGGAGGTGCACTCCTTAGAACAATCAACCATGTGAGATCAGAAGGGCAGCATTTTCCAGGGAAAAAACTCAGAAGTCAGGAATGCATAGGAAATATTGACAAAAGGAAAAGGTAACCAAAGGGAAGAAGTAGGAAGAAAGCTGTTATATTTTGGGGATTGGAATCAATGTCACAAAACAAAATGTGTATGAACTGCTGAATGAAAAATGAATTTTCTCTGTAAACTTTCACTCAAAACGCAATAATAATAATAATCAATCAGTTCCCCCCCAAAAATTACAAAAAATAAAAAAAGTTTGGGTTAAGAAACCTATACTTAGTATGACTTCATTAACCTAATTCTCAAATAGGATAACTTCCAAAGTATGTCACTGTCATTAAGTACATTTTGACTCATAGTGACTCTACATGATTGAGTAGAACTGCACCATAGGATTTCCAAGGCTGTACATCTTTACAGAAACAGACTGCCACTTCTTTCTCCCAGACAGAGACTGGTGGGTTTAAACTGTCAACCTGTGGGTTAGCAATTGAACACTTTAACTACTGTGCCACCATGGCTCCTTCCTCCAAAGTACTGTTGTTGTTATGTGCCATCAAGTCATCGCCAACTCATAGCAACCCCATGCACAACGCAATGAAACACTGCCTGGTCCTGTGCCAGCCTCATGATCCCTACTATACCTGAGCCCATTGCTGCAGCCACCAGGTTAATCCATCTTGTTGAGGGCCTTCCCCTTCTTCATTGACCCTCCACTTTACCAAGCATGACATCTTTCTCCAGAGAATGGTCCCTTCTGATAACACGAACAAAGCAGGTGAGATGAAGTCTGGCCATTCTCGCTTCCAAGGAACATTCCAACTGCACTTCTTTCAGGACAGATCTGTTAGTTCTTTCAAAAGTCCACAGTACTTTCATCATTCTTTGCCAAGACCACAACTCAAAAGCATCAACTCTTCTTTGGTCTTCCTTACTGTCCAGCTCTCACGTGCATATGAGGTGATTGAAAATACCATGGCTTGGGTTAGGCACATCTTAAGTCTTCAAGGAGATATCTTTGCTCTTCAGTGCTTGAAAGAGGTCTTTTGCAACAGATTTGCCCAATGCAGTATGTCTTTTAATGTCTTGACTGCTGCTTCCATTGGCGCTGATTGTAGAACCAAGTATTGTGAAGTCTTTGACAACTTCAGTCTTTTCTTCATTTATTGTGATGCTGCTTATTGGTCCAGTTGTGAGGATTTTTGTTTTCTTTATATTGAGGTGTAATTCATACTGCAGACTATAGTCTTTAATCTCCATCAGTCAATGCTCCTAGTCATCCTCACTTTCAGCAAGCAAAGTTGTGTCATCTGTATATCTCAGGTTGTTAATGAGCCTTCCTCCAATCCTGATGCCACATTCTTCTTCATATAGTCCAGCTTCTACTACTGTTTGCTCAGCATATAGATTGAATAAGTATGATGAAAGGATACATCCCTGACACACTTCCTGATTTTAAATCATGCATTATTTCTTTGTTCTGTTTGAATGACAGCCTCCTGGTCTATGTACAGGTTCCTCATGAGTACAATCAAGTGTTCTGGAATTCCCATTCTTCTCAATGTTACCCACAATTTGTTATGATCCACACAATCGAATGCCTTTGCATAGTCAATAAAGCACAAGTGAATATCCTCCTGGTATTCTTTGCTTTCAGCCAAGATCCACATGACATCAGCTATAATATCCCTCACTTCATGTCCTCTTCTGAATCCAGCCTGCATTTCTGGAAGTTTCATGTCAATATACTGCTACAACCATTTTTGAATTATCTTCAGTTAAGATTTTACTTGCATGTGATACCACTGATATTGGTTTGATAATTTCCACCTTCTGTGGGATCACCTTTCTTTGGCATGGGTACAAATATGGATCTCTTCTAGTCAGTTGGCCAGGTAACTGTCTTCCAAATCTCTTGGCATAACCAAGTGAGTACCTCCAGTGCAGCATCTTT